CTCCTGAGAGGTGGTCTATAATGCCCCGACAATACGGGTCAGCCTGCTGGCGAGAACTCAAGGGATGTTCATCGTCGATTGGCGGTTGGTACAGCGAGGCGAGCAAGGCAACAGAAGTGGGAGTCACGTCCACACTGGTGTCGTTGGAGGTGGCAGCTGGAGTGTCGAACGAAGCCGTAGGTAGTGGGCAACGAGAAAGAGCGTCGGCGTCTTGATGTTCTCTTGCCCGATTTATAAATAATCTCAAACTGATACTCCTGTAGGCGTAAAACCCAACGACCCAAGCGTTCGGACCAGTTCTGCATTGTAGAAAGCCAGCATAAGGCGTGGTGGTCCGTCACGATGGTGAATTGACGGCCGTACAGATAAGGACGGAACTTTTGTATGGACCAAACCACAGCGAGGCACTCCTGCTCAGTGATAGTATAGTTCGTTTCGGTAGAAGCTAGCACTCGGCTAGCATATGCGATGACCCTTTCCCGTCCAGAGTTATCGCGTTGAAGGAGAACAGCACCTATACCGCTACCACTGGCGTCGGTATGCAGGAGTGTTGGGGCGGTGTCATCAAAATGGCAGAGTACAGGCTCTGACGTCAAAGCTTCCTTCAATAGGTCAAACGCCGACTGACATTCCTCGGACCACACAAAGGGTGCATTAGAAGCAAGTAGTTTGTGAAGTGGCGCAGCTACTGAAGCGAAATTTCGCATGAACCGACGAAAATAGGATGCGAGGCCAAGAAAACTTCGCAATACTTAAGTCTTGTGGGGTGTGTAAATCGAAGGAGGGTAGCGATCTTTTCGGGATCAGGGTGAATACCGTCCTTGTTGACGACATGACTGAGAACCTTGATGGATTCGGTGGCGAAACGGCATTTCTTAGTGTTGAGCTGCAGAACCGCACTGGCGAGGCTTGTTAGGACGTCATCCAAGCGCCTCAGGTGCTGAGAAAACGTTGATGAAGAGATGATAATGTCATCAAGGTAGCAGAGACACGTCTTCCATTTGAGACAACGCAGGACGGTGTCGATCATGCGTTCAAACGTCGCGGGCGCATTGCAGTGCCCGAAAGGCATCACGTTAAATTCGTATAGGCCATCGGGGGTCGCAAATGCCGTTTTTTCTTTGTCATCATCGTGCATGGGAATTTGCCAATATCCCGAACGCAAATCAAGGCTTGAAAAGTATTCGGCGCCTTGCAGTGAATCAAGGGCGTCGTCGATGCGTGGCATGGGGTATATGTCCTTGCGTGTGATGTTGTTAAGTGCCCGGTAATCAACGCAAAAGCGCACGGAGCCATCTTTTTTTCGTACCAAACAGGGGATGACCAAGGGCTAGTCGATGGACGAATTATTTCTCGTTGGAGCATGTCAGCGACGTTTTCCTCGATGATTTTTCGCTCAGCGAGAGACACGCGGTACGGGCGGCGATGTACAATAGACGTTCCCTCCGTTTGAATGCGATGCGCTGCAGTGGTAGTTTGGCCCAACGTTGAGGAGCAGATGTCGAAAGAATCGGCGTGTTTTGTTAATAACGCAAGCAACTGCTGCGCCTGCAAAGCTGTTAAGTCACCACTGATAAGGGCTGTGAAGGGAGAGGATGATCCAGGCTTACTCATAGAATGGTCGCTGGTAGAGGCAGGTTTAGGTGGCGTGACGCTGACAGGCTCAGCATCCACAACACAGGCTACTGCAGTGCCCTCTGGCAGGAAAACTTTCTCTGGCGTTTCAATCGTAGCAATGACGAGCGCGGAGCCATGGTGAAAGCGTACGACACCTGATGCAAGGGCTACGCCTTTAGCGACGACAGTCGACGAAGGGGACACCAAGGCGTCACCGTGGTCGATGTCCTTAGAGGTTAGGGTCACAATTCGTTCTTGATGTGGCGGTAGTTCGAGATCTTCGCGAGCGAACAGGCGTAGTGGCTTGTAGACGCCTTCGTCGAACATGGAGTCCGTATTCGTTAGGTGCAGAATCCGTTCACCACAGCATTGACGCGCCGACAAAGCGCAAGGACATCCGCGATGTAAGATGTGTATGACTCGCCGGGATGTTGTTGGCGAGTATCTAGGGCCCTCCTCGCTAGAGCGGATCGAACGGCTGGCGTGCCGAATACTTGGGCGAAGCTGCTGCTTGAAGGCAGGCCAGTCGATGAGGTCGATCTCATGGTTCAAGAACCATGTCTTGGCAACGCCCGTGAGATAAAGCGATATTCGGCGGGGCTTGTTAGAGTCGTCCCAGTGATTAGTTGCGCTTACTTGCTCGTAGTTATTGAGCCAGTCCTCGTCATCTTCGCCGCGGAGACCAGCGAAGATCGGAGGGTCACGCTTGTGGTTTACGATGTAAAGAGGAGGGGCTTGCGGCGCAGAGACGGGAGCAGAAAGGACATCCGCCCACTCACTCTGAGACATGTTGGCGGACTGGGGGTCGAAGCGGCGGTCTGAACAGAGCTCCAGCGAGTAGGCGTTGTAAGGAGAGGTACTGGGATCGTCAATCCACCTCCACCACGTATGACGACTCGGTTGTTACGAGGTTTATTGGCCGTGAACTCGGGAACGAACAAGCGCAATGGACCCGAAACTGAAGCGCACGTTCAAAGATGATGATGATTGTCAGCCAGAACATATGATGATGATTGACTGCTGTTCAGATGAGGATGAAGCGCATAATAGATGCCTACAATATATATATATATATATATATATATATATATATATATATATATATATATATATATATATATGGGTGTGTGTGTGTACAGAGAGATAGAGAGAGAGATATCCACGTTTATATATGCGGGGAGAATGACGGCGACGCCGGCGGCAAAGGCAGCCTAGAGTGTCCATATAGTTGCTATCGCAATAAAGTGGCTGGCCCATGTGTCTTATTTAAAACTGCCCAATCAAAAGCACCCAGCTGTTATTCCAGTAGCATAGCTGGGCGGTCACCTTACTAGTAGTCTCTTGCTCTAAAGCTGGGCTGCTCAAACTTTCTGGCCTTGGGGAACTCTAATGTCTCCTCACAGCTTGAAAGACCTCTTTCAAAGGAGGGGGTCATTCAAATGCAGGGGAGAGGGAGAGAGGGTGTGACGGCGTTGTTAAATGTAAGATGGAATGCAAGTTTTCTTGTCTAAGTTTATAATAATTGCTAAATAGGAGCCCACCACATTCACTCCAACAATCCAAGAAACCCTGAAATGCCCTTCATAAAACCCAGTTTGAAACCGATGCTCCAAAGCGTGACATAAGAAATCTAATCAAGTTGACGAAGAGTCTTATAGGGAGAATAAAGAGAAATCCTAAATCGATTTGTGTTGAAAAGCACTTTTCAAAAACAAATCGCCCTTAGTTTTACAATAAAAATTTGACCTAGCAGAATAAAAAGCGAAGAATAATGGCAGTATAATGTTTGGAATGCTAAGTCGTGACCCAAAAAACTGTACGTCCGATCAAGTGGCATCATGGATTTCAAGATACCTCCTTGTGTTGGTTTGTTTTAGTGGTTTCGCTTCAGTGAAAGTCCACAAAGCTACCCACCTCCTTCGGAACTTACTTTTCGACAATTGTTAACAGTAAAGTATTCCTTCGATCCTGGTGTTGTGACAAAATTTCATTACTTAAGAGTGGGGTAGTGCCATACATCAACGCGTGGAGTCACCCCCTGTGTTTAGACATTGCGCCTCATCGATCTGTCTTACAGAGCTTGCTTTGGAAGTAAGACTGCCGTTCCTGGTATTGGGAGTCGGCAATATAATAACTCAGGCGTGATCATTGCTGTGTCTGGCATCCATCGACACTGGAAACAGCTTACACTGTCGTCAGCAAGCGAAGCGGTTTTAAATTTTCACGCTTGCGGATTTCCGTCCTCACAGAGCACCCAACACAGCCACTCAATAAGCTATGTTATATTGGCGACTCTCATATTTTGACTGAGTGAGCAGCAGACGACTCCTGAATTGAACAATATGACGCGGGATGCCACACGAGCAGAATTCGAGGTGAGACCCTGTGAAGAGAGCCATCGCAGTGTATGAGGCCTTCAATGCGATGAGGCCAAGGCGCAGTCGTATGCACGCATTATTTGAATTCATTCTTACTAGAGCAGACACTCACCAATAGTTACTGTTCACGAGTGCTTTAAGCAAGTAAATGTGATAGGCTTCACGCAATTATGTGATGTTTTCAAGTTATAATGCTATATTGTGTACTTCGCCTCTGTTTTCCGTGTAGCAATTGCTTTAGGCTATTTCATTATATTTATCTCGATTAGAGCTCCGGAAATCGTTAATTTTTAATTTGCCTACACAAACGACGCTTCGTAAAGGGACTTACAACCAAGTTATATGGTGCTGTTTTTTTTTCTTTAGCAGAGCGGAAAGCTGACCGGTCAGTGAGTCGAACCACGAAACGGTGAAGTGCAAAACGCCGCGAAACAATTGTAATCATAATTTTTCGATCTGCAGCAAATATGAAGTCGTATATACTCACATGCTGCAAACAGTGAACGCGAGAGTGGTTCGTGTCCGAGCGTGGTGGTTCGCTGCGCATGCGCGTACTCCACGCGCATGCGCCGTGGGTAGACTTGGTATCCTGCCGGCCGCGACGGCAGTGCCGCTTCTCAACGTGCAACAACATTTACGTCGTAAATAGGGCAGAGTCAAGTGGGGCTGGATAATAATATGCGTACTCTGACCTAAAGGACTGGTGCGTATGACAGCCTCAGGCTACGTTACTATACGTACAGCAAAGGAATAGATTCCATATTCTATGATCGAACTTCAATTCGCTTCTTCTAGGCTGAGCCACATGATAGTTTTTGTTACTTTTAGGTATGTTTTAAAGATATACGTCCTACTCACTTTGCGAAAAGAAATGCTGGAATATGAAATACTGGAATAATATTTGTTGGTATTTTAATTTCTAATGTTTCTAATCAAGCTTTCTGACAAGTTGTCGTTTTTTTTTAATCTCCAGACATTTTTGTTGAAGAATGCTATAAAACGCACCTGGTCACTAAGAGCGAGGCAGGCGTTCCTCTGCGGTACCGTCCAGTAGGCCCAGTCCTTCGGTCCCTGAAGCTGAAGGGTGGCCATCAGGGGCACGGCACTCAGTGTGTCCTCCACCCCACCGGCCTCAAGCAGAAGCACGCGAAGGGACGGCTTTGCCGAGAGGCGGTTGGCCAACAATGCGCCCGCTGAACCACCGCCAACTGCAAGAGAAACGCGTGTTCGTTTAATGGGGCATAGCTTAGCTTTCTCCATTCCACAACATCTTCTCACTACCTCCTATCAATCCTGAGGGAACCGCGCAGATGTCATGCAGCACGCACTCCTTGACCTGACAAGGACTGTTGCCGACACTGCGTGACTTTGTAAAACCCATAAGTTTAGCCTGTTTTAAACTTATTACACATAGTCACTACACTGAAATTTGAGCCCTATGCACCACTCTTTCATTCTTGCACCCTGAGTAGACTTTTTATAATCAAATCGACTAAAAACCTTGTGTTTGGCGCTCTCTAGCCTCAGTTGCCCTTGCGCCGCTAAAATCTACCATCGTCATTAATGAGGAATAGGATGATTTCAGCAGAGATCGAGAAATGGCCAGGAACAAGGCATGTAGCGCGAAAGAAGGATTACCACAGGTCGTTAAGGGTATTATACTGAATTAAGTGAAGGCAAGTGCCGGAGGGGTGGACAAAACGTTAGGTGGGCTGATGGGATTTATAAGTTTGCAGGGATAACGTGGTCGCAGAGAGTCCAGGACCGGGTTGACTGGTGGAACACGGGAGAGGTCTTTGTCCTGCAGTGGACAGAGTCCGGCTGATGATGACGATGATTATCTCTAAAACATATTTATAGATGCTAAATACACGCCGTTTTCAGTTCCTCCAGCTTAGCTTAGCACACTAATAATCACAAGACGGGGACGCAGTTAGACTGGGCGGCACACAGTAGCGACCTCTCGCAGTGTCCCTGTGGGTGAAAGGTGGTGATGTAATCGTACCGCACAGTAAGCCAACCACATGCGTAATGTGTCTGCGATTGATGTTGAATATCCCGGTTTACTTCTAGAGCAAATGCACAAGGGACATTGCAGAAGCTGCAGAAGTTGTTTTAAAATAGAATACGACAATAGCATTGCTTTCTCGTCTAGAGAACGAACCTGGTACTATGCATACGTGTCTTAATAGCCCTAACTACGAGGTAGTATGAGTTATAGTGATTATGGTGTTTGACTGTTAACTCGCAAGTTGTGGGATTGAATTCCGGCCGAGGCAGCCAGTATTTTGATGAAGGCGAAACGCTTGATGCCCGTGCACCTAAACGAAAGCTGAGAAGCTTATTGACAGAACACATAGGATAGGTACACACAAAACAAACTGCATTTCATCAAGCCGTTCATCTGCAATTGGCCGCCACTGTCGAAGTCACGCCCTCAATTTAAGCTGTACCCTCCTTGTAAGCCTCCGGGTTGTTGCTCTGTAGGTAAGTACCGGCAACATGCAGCTGTTATATATACCTTCCACTTGAAGGTTAGTGGTAGATCAATAAAATTCTAACGGGTGGTAGTGTTAGGCACATGGGAGCAGGTCGGTCTCAAGAACGCCTCCATACGCTTTGTCACTTCACTACCTCGATGCCGGCTGGCTCAAGTCACGCTAATAACGGAAGCTGCTCTAACAAGAACGCCAGAACTGTCGCGAGGTGGTATATTCTTGGAAGAATCCGCCGAATGTCTTTAGAGTGCTCAATATTGATCAGTGTTCGCTTCGGAGCGGTCAACGACGGCCAATGAGGCGTGCCAAATATAAATTATGCCTAAATGAACTAAATGTTCAAAACAGCGCTGCACAATAACAAACACTCGGCGTCTTGCAGGAACAAGCACGAGCCGTTATTCGCCTGTAACGGTCATCACTTTCAATGGGCGCGCGAAAAACGAAAGGCACATTGGGTTCAGCAACGATGTGCTCAGCAGCGAATATTACACAGGTGGCTGAAAAGGCGAGAGGGGTGACATTATCACTTACTAAAACAAGGGCTTTAAGATCGGGAGCAGTGCTTTTCTTCTGCCCCAATCCGCGGTTCTCCAAAACGCAATTGTTGATGCGGTCATGAAAGGTTGCTCCAGAAGGACAGTTTTTTTTTGTGACACTCGAGTTCGCTCTGTCTCCACTTGCTATATCGGGAGGCGGGCTTCGCCCGTGAAAGAGTCGGGTACGCGACTGTAAGCACGACTCACCGATGATGAAGTCGTACGTCTCCGACAGTTCTCTGAAGTCGTAGTAATCTTCCTGCGCCGGCAGCTTGGAGAACATCACCGCCAGCATCTGCGTCACTGCCAGGGCTTGCGCCTTGGTGAACATTTTGCCACGTGGATAGGCCTTCGCGAGGTGTGCGCTCCGGTTGGGACGTCCGCGACACGCGGACGACGGCCAAATGATCTTCGAGGAGATCGAAACGGCTCTTTATAGCCTATCCCTCCGTGCCCATCTGCTCCTATGACTAACCCTTCATTTTAAACGACGTGCGATAACAATGTTTTTGACCCGTTTGAATATAAAAACGGGAAAAAAGGAAAGAATGATCTCCGTCTTGCCTCCTAATTGTTTCGCTTCGAAAAGCCGCACATTTGTTTTATGAGATGTAAAATTTTAGGCTTTAAATACAGATTGCTTTACGGTTGCCTCTAGTGGTAAATAGCGACATATCTAATGGCTATCTTGACAGATACCGTTCCTTTCATGACTGTTATCTCTAGTTCGAGATCACTGGGCAGTCAATATCTCAGCTAGCGCAATCGCTTCTTCTGACATCGTTCCCATCATAGATATGCTAAAAGCGTTATTCATTCTAACGACTTAGGGGAGGGAGCGACGATATTTAGCTACTGGAACGAACATCGTTACAGAGTGATGGGTGGCTAAACGCTAGGTCGTATCCGATTGGGGCAGGCGCATTCGGGGGAAGACAATACAAACAGAGCGTGAAAGAGCGCTTGCGTGTTTGCAGTGCATCCCGACTGGCCTATTACTGGTTGAGATGGGGTGGTTGGTGACGGCTTGGGTGATCTCGTTGATGTCGAATCTTTTTCACGTTTACTGTCCCGACTACCGTAGCGACACGTGTCCCTCGTGCGGACACATGGTTCCCGATTCATCCCGATTACTTAAGGTAAGTGAGAGAGGTCCCTCAGAGGCTCGCTTTTCGCTGACCAGTAGCCAGCGTCCAGTTGGCCCACGAAGCGGCTGCCGCGTATTCTTTGCCGGTCTCTACTGGAGACGCCCGGTGCATGCGTGCTACGCGCGTTCTGCAGGACATCGATAATGTAATGGACGCGTAGGCCTGACAACCGTAGGGCAGTTACCAAGCATCGTATTCACACAACAAAAGCGCACTAGGAAGGGCGCCCAACGCAGCGCGACCTTCAGTATTCTTCACTTTATATTGCAATATTTGCTAGATTCGCCTGACGCATAGCTGACATATAGTAGGCAGCTGAAGCCCCGCCGCGGTGGTCTGGTGGCTAAGGTACTCGGCTGCTGACCCGCAGGGTGCGGGTTCGAATCCCGGCTGCGGCGGCTGCATTTCCGACGGAGGCGAAAATGTTGTAGGCCCGTGTGCTCAGATTTGGGTGCACGTTAAAGAACCCCAGGTGGTCAAAATTTCCGGAGCCCTCCACTACGGTGTCTCTCATAATCATATCGTGGTTTTGGGACGTTAAACCACACAAATCAATCAGTACGCAGCTGAAATGCATTTACATTCGAGCAAGTTAAACTTATCTGTAGATGACTTGCTGCCCATTGAAGCTAGATTCTCTGAATGGGGAAGATTGCTTCCCAGGAAACGATATGACACACGATAAAATGGTACTCCAGGTGGTCGAAATTTCCGGAGCCCTCCACTACGGCGTCTCTCATAATAATGTGGTGGTTTTGGGACGTTAAACCCCACATATCAATCTAGAAAATCGCGAAAAAGGTCATAGGGTACGTTATGATTACCATCATCATCATATCATGCATATAATTGTTCGGCGTCACACGGCTATTTCAAACGACACTGGAGAATTTATTCGACATTTTCTTTCGGGTGTGCGGGCGTTCCAACAACTCTTTAAGCTGTAGTGACATGATTCTGAAGCCGTGATTTTCACGCACATGAGTTGCTTCAGAGTTCTTAATGTGGAGATGAGTAACTCTTGCAAGAAGCCAGACTACTTTTTAATTTATACTTATTTCGTTTGACAGTAAGTGCGTCATCGTGATAGTTTCTCGCCAAGATGCTAAATTGATTGTCGTTTTTAGATGAATATGTGGGGTTCCTTAACCAATATAATAGTGACGCCGGAAATTTCGGCCACCGGGGGTTCTTCAACCCTCTAATACTCTGTGCATTGAATATAATACATCAATAAAGTTTCTAAAACATACTGTAAGTGTCAAGGTAAGCAGCTATTGCAGATTTGACATGTTTAGGAGAAGGTACAGTGACTTGCATATTATAAAATAGTAATTAGGTTTTTGCAATAATATTAATTAGGTGATGCCCCAAACTAAGTTTCATTCGTAGTTTTTTTAAAAGAAACTGTACAAGAACAGTAAGAACAGTCAGTGCTTTTTCAAAGGCACAACTGATCGTCGGAATTGCAGCGTTAACGTGCACCAGAATCTGAGCCCACGAGCCTACAGGAGTTTCATCTCCATCGAAAATGCAGACGCCGTAGCCGGGATTCGATCCCTCGACCTGTGGGTCAGCAGCCGAGTATCTTAGCCATTAGACCACCGCGGCGGGGCGATTTTCTTTTTTAGATCTGCTGTCCATTGCACCTCAAGGTCTGTCCAAACGGCGATAGGGGCACGTTCATGTGCACGCCGCCCCCATTTTTTAGGGTGATGACAAGTTCCTTACAACCAGTTTCGGTGGCTGTCATACTTGATGGGCCGCCATGTTGGTTCTCAGTGGTCGCTCGTTTACTATGAAGGTAGCGTGGGTTTCTACGAAAATGGGATCATTTTTTTTTATATATGGTAACCTCTTAAAGTTGGAGGCTTGTTCTCTGAAGATAGCTGCCGTCCTGTACAATAGAATGGTTCGTTGAGTCGAGTTTGTATGAAATACTGTGAAAACAGTTCGCTTCTTAAAGCTCGTACACCCGGCCCATTGGCCGAGTGCTGAAATTTAGGGAGCCTCTATATGCGATAGAGAGAACCTTGATGTCACTGCAAACAGAATTCAATGACTTCGCGGCCTTTTTGAATAGAAAAATCACGTTATCAGTGCAAGCGCCTCAAATGCGTTCTAGTGCAGGGCTCGATGCCGTGCTATATTACATGACAGTACAGTGCTATATTTCATGCCGTGATATACTACATGACAGTGCTATATTACATGACAGTACGGCGAGGAAGGTGGAGGAGGCAACCGCGTAGTTCGCGATCTTCTCTGCACGCCGCATAACTTCGGTACCCTGTTTATCATGCTGTAAACTTTTCTTTGATGCGTAATATAATTTCTGCAGGAAGTTTGCTTTCTGCGAACGAATCTATACATTGGACTGCTTAAGAACCTTGCAAGGGGTTAGCATTGCCAGAAAACAGTAGGGAACTCGGTCATATTACACCTTGCCCTCCCTGTCCCTCAAATCTGTAAATTAGGCTTCAGAAGAAAAGTATAAGAGAGCAACAAGGAACAAACGAACTTTTTCCAGGTCAGACTTTATTGCAAACAGCATCGGAACAGCATCTGGCCTTTTCAAACTGTCCTACCTCATTTGCTCGAGGGCTTGCGTCCTCAATGTGGGCCTATTATAAAGCAATAGATAAGGCATAAAGTAATACACTGCACTTAGAAAAATGTACGCAGTACAAATATACATTTTTTTCTACAAGCACTGAATAAAAACTGAGTTCACGACATGAAATCGTCTTTTTTGCTGGTTATGAAACAAAACAACAAAAATTTTGATGCAGCACCAACATCCCACAGAGAATATTTGAGTTAAAAGCAAACAACCGGTTACCTTAGTGCAGACATACAAAAGCGTTTAGGACAGACAGACGGATGAACGGACGGACGCGAACAGTGAATCAGTCGCATTCCATATTATTATAGTGGAACCTTTACTGGCATTGTTGAAGGAGCTTCAGTGTGTATTCCCCTGTGGTAATACTGAGAGTTTCCTTGTGGCCTTGAGGCGAAAAATGAATTCAGTAGCTGCTCGCAAGTCTGCGCCGCACTCGTTGAAATGTCTGTGTATGGCGACACTGCTGTCCGTTTTCTTGTTCGGAGAAAGTTGTTGAGGCGGATCGTGCGGAAGTTAGCCAGAGTTTGCGGACGTGGTTAAAAGTTGCTCATGCTGCGTGACGATAGTCGCACTTGGTCGCTTGTCGTTCTTCGAGCTCTTTCAAGCCGAAACTGAAACCGGTTGGTAATGAGAAATCTGTAATTATTTATCTATCACACGCTGCAGTAATCGATGTGCCATTTTATGACTTATAGGCGTCCGGCGACACATTTCTGCAAAAAATGCAAGGCCAAAACTTTGCGTCAACACCGCTTTTTAATATACAAAAAAAAAAACGCGCAATCGCTTATACGCCGACACGAAATTACAAAAGCGCTGGCATACAATAACTCTAAATTATGCTATCTCACACCGTCATGGTCAGCTCAAGGTGCCGCAAAATAAGCACAGATCCGAAACTCTGCCCCCCCCCCCCTATATCGACAGAGTACAATATCTAAAGCGCGTTTATACGTAGATGACCCGCGAGTATCCCACATAGTACAATGTGCCACAGCGACGCGCATGCGCGTTTCAGGGCGTGGATTTGGCAGGCCAGTCTAGGAAGTCGTTTCGAGGCGCCTCGTAGTCGGCGAGCGCCTGGAACAACGGCGCTGTCGTGTTGGCCGTCCAGTCCCCCTTGATCGCCACGCCGCGCAGCTTGGCCCAGCGCACGAAGCGAGCCTGCATGAATATGCAGCGCCATATCGAAAGCCTGGGTTAGTGAAACACGAAAGGCAGAGAAAAAAATACTAGCCCCACCGCGGTGGTCTACAGGCTAAGGTACTCGGCCACTGACCCACGGGTCGCGGGAAAGAATTCTGGCTGCAGCGGCAGCATTTTTGATGGAGGCGAAAATGCTGTAGGCCCATGTGCTCAGATTTGGTGGAACTTTGATGAACCTCAGGTGGTCGATATTTCTGGAGTCCTCCACTAAGGCGTCTCTCATAATCATATGGTGGTTTTGGGACGTTAAACCTCATATATCAATCAATCAATCAGTCAGTCAATCATACAATCCGGGAGAAACACTAATTTTGATGTTTATGCTACATGTACACTTTTCACAGTTCCGTA